TTGTAATGTTTATGTCATCTACCGGAAGTCGTCCTATGTATATATTAACACGCTAAGAATTCTGGATCGGAACTATCATGGTTGCCACGAGGCTGATGTATTCTTTTAGTCTTTTATTAAATCTCTTTTAATCATATACATCATGAGTCTAAATCAATGAGAAACATCACACCCCTCCCTTCCCCTCTCCCCCTCCCTTCCCCTCTTCCCTCCCTTCCCCTCTCCCCCTCCCCCTCTCTGACTCTTCGCTCACTGTTTTGTTGAAAAGAACAAGTGAACTCTGAGAAGAGTGTTGATTTTCCATCGAGCTTTCGTTTCATTGTAGAGATTCCATTTTTAAACTGTGGGATAATTAATAGTCAGAGTCTGTCTCACCTCAAACAATGTTGAATTTGGTTTGTCTAGAAAACGCTTAGGTGGTGTAGTATCTAAAGGCATGGATGTAATCGAGAATGGTCAAAATTTAAAACCAAGGATTACAAAATAATTTGTAAAAAAGAATGCAACTTCCAATCTTCGAAAGCACATGTACGTGTAACAACAATGTACAGAAATAAATTAAGTACTTACATAAATAAAACGGGAAATCCTGATCTTCTAGGTAAGATTTAACGAACTCTGTCAGGGTTGATACTAAAAACAAAAATCCCATCACATTTACTAAGATATCAGAAAAAATGGAAATGATTGGTTTCCAAAAATGGGTAATGGTGCTGTTTAACGCATCTACTCTGTACTTTGCTATCCACGAATCATACAAGTGTTTCACAACAACCATTTTGATCCATGTGTTTGCACACCTCTACTGGGAATTGAGAAACTTGTTTCCCTTTTTTTTAAAATAGTGGGAATCCCTCTATCAGAACAGTCTACAGAAGCGATCATACTGTACCTTTCTCCATTGGTCTGAAAAATGCTTGTAAGACCAGCCTGTCAGGAAACTTAATGCGCACAACAACCTGTAAACAAAACAAAAAGACAAAACAAAATGGAACCTATCGTTAGACCACACATATGTCTTGTTCGATAGCGCTTACACTGTACAAGACACACTGTCTTTTAATAATGCTACAGAAGGAAAAAGGCGTTTGAGGTTCCAGATGAAGCTTTATGGGTTACCTTCAATTTAGTCACTTTTGTAAACTTCCAAGTTTATGTCTACCTCTGTGAAATATTCTGCAGTGCACTTCTGTTTACATCTACTCTATTCTTAATGATATGGTTGTAAAAAACAATACTGCTTATTGCTAAGTACTGAGCTTTATAAAAGAAATTAGCAGACTAGAGATGTCTCTGAATAAGATTTCTCTTATTTTCCTGTATTTAATTCATGCGTTAAGAAGTTGGTGATAATTTATTTTCTAGTACCTTGTCGTATTTGTACATTTCAGCCTCTTGTCGCACCTCACGCATGGCTCTTGTCATAAGAGGGGCACTGTCTGCTTGATTCCTGTTATTCACAAATAATAAATGAAAAAAATTTGACTACATGAAAATAGATAATCCTTTGGAGCATTTGGCACGCCAATAAAATGCAACCCTTGTGACTTCCCTTTCACAAACTACCTCTTATTCAGGCTATTACCAATTTTTTACATTGCAAATGGCTTACAGATTTGTATCTGACTTTTGAACTGGTCACTTTTGACCAAACCTACCTTCAGTGACCAAAATTAATCTCAACAGCTGCCACTTAGTGTAATTTTTTCCCAAACTGGCAAATTGGATGTGTAGGACACTTGGACCCATAATGAGAATCCCATGTGAGGTGAACATTGGCCCAAGTAACATACTTTATTACCGAATATTTAAGGCAAAACAAATCTGCCCTCACTGGGCACCTGTGCTCTACCAAAGCAGGCAATGAAATTTGGGATAATGTTACAAAAAACCTTTAATTAACAAGCAAAACTTCAGCGATTTTGTCATTCACTTTCATTGTCTCGCAGGAATATCGTCCATGATTTTCCTCCAGAGCACATTTCTTTTATGAGTAAACAGACAGGTTGTAGAAGGTAAACAGGGATTAGTGATATTAGAAGCTAAGATTTGCATGCCTTGCTTCAAAAACCCTCCAAGACAGATCAAGAACATGGAAAATTGTAAACACAGAATTAACTTATGCAAGGTTACATCACATGAGTCGCATCACTGCCTTTGTCAAATCACATCTTTACTGTGTGGTAGCCTTTACAGTACCTTTCATTCTTCAAGTCTCTTAACATGATGCGGATGTCATCCACTGTTACTTCAAAGAAAGAATCTGGAATTTCACCTGGTACAAAAGGCATTCATAAGTTACCCTTGATAAATGCATTCAACTGGTTGAAGAAATTTTAATTTTTACCTCATTACTGTCAATTAAATTGAAATGAGTGAAGAGATGAAAGGATGGTGTAAAACTTGGACAAAAAAAAATGCAAAGATCATTTTACTTTCATTGCGTTGAGGATAAGAAGGATCTTCTTCACTGAAAGCAACAGGATTTCTGTCGCATGGAGTGGCCAGGAATTCCTTGCGGGATGCATCAACCCTGAAAACAAAGATACTCGAATTAAATCTGATTTTGGAAGTACATGTACTATGCTTTTGGTTAGTGAGTTTGTGTTATTGTGTAGACACCATTGGAAACAAAGATATGTTAAGATAATTTATGCCCAGACCAAGACAATGTTTGGTGTAAAATGACCTGAAAACAAGTAACAACATACAAATTTAGGTGTACATAAATCCTGATCAAAATCTAAAATAACCTAATCCCTTGCCTTTCTCTTTCGAATAAGTCCATGCCTGCTGTCTCTTCTGGGAACTGGATAAACAAGAAATAAATGAAAACAGTTTGCACTTGACGGAAAAAAAATTGTTGGGAATCAATGAAACGGTATTACAATGTACCTAATACTACACCTTAAAATTTGCAAAAGGAGGCTCTGGAGGATTTATTCTGGCTCTCTTAGGTTCTTTTAAACTTTCTGTGAAAAAAAAAAAAAATTAAAATACATCACAATCAATGACTGTAAAAATATTAACAAAAAACTGTAAAAAAACACAAAGTAACAGACTCCTCTTTCCAATTTTTGCAACTCTATCACTGAAAACTTCACCAGTAACAGCTAGCTACACAGGCTACCAGAATATAAAAGACAATCATAATGTTATTCTAAACCTTGAATATGAGTTCCTTGTGCACCCACAGAATTGTTTCTTCTGGCATTTCTAGGCACTTGATTTGAGTTTTCTTGAATTGTGGTGTTAGCAGGTGAAGTTGTCGATGAAACAACAGCATTATCAATCATCATTTGCTCAGATCTAAACGTACCCTGGTCTACATCTTGTAAAGGAAGTTTATTCTTTGAAATGCCACTTGGGGCTGAGTTTGTCTTCCCTAGCAAAAATGAGAAAATAAACATAAAAATCATTATGTTTATGTACAGCTATAGGCGGATTCATGCTGATGTACTTGTTTACATTTTAGAGTTTACGTATAGSRTT